ACTGTTACAAATGGTATAACTATGTTTCACAAACAAAATTAATAGTTATCTACAAAATATCGCAGTTATTTATTACTTATGACACAGTTCCGAGTACTGTAACACGCTGAACTTCCTCCCGCGTCATCATTTGTTTTTGTCGTCGTTCTATCGTGTGACAACCGGCAGTTATGATATAATATTCGCGTATGATCGGTCTATATAAAAAATCTAATACCGAGTTTCCGACGACAACCATCCGTCACTATACGACTGGGTCTCTCCTTTCAGCACTACGCTGAAGCCTTCACGGTCCTTACCATTGTCTGTACAATCCATAGATCATCAAGAACAGTAGTTAAAATTTAAATCGTTTTTCATAATTTTAATACAGTTTGTTTTCATAGTTACCATAATTAATTAATAGCATAATATGGTATTAATGAACATTAATAAACGGGCTAACGTTCCTTCATTAACATAAATTTGTGTAGGCTACGTTTTTTAAACCAACAACAAAACTTATGCTATTCTATACTATAACAAATCAGTCACACTGAAGTAGTATTAAATCCAATATCAATTACTATTCTTTTAAATTATAATAAAAGTCAGTAACATAGCCAGAATTTTTTTTTTTTGTTATCACATACTAGCGCCGAAATCATATACTGTTTATAAAAATAATTAATCAAAGAGGCTCTTTTAGCCCCCCCCCCCGGGGTACCACATTAATGAAACATAATTTTACATAAAAATATTCATTATAGATAAAGTTTTAATGGAAAAGGGTTATACACTGGAACTTCAATATAACAATTTTAGACTAGATGTGAATGAATGACTAGAACGAAATTAATCTATTATATCATAACGATTTCAATATTTTTTTTAAACAATGGCATAGGCAGGATTTTGCTTAGGGGACTAAAATTCTTTATTTTTTTGGCTTATCAGATATTCTCACTGGCGTCAAAGTCTTACACTGTTATAGTAATAATTAAAGCGCGTATAACTTCTTTGGACCCCTGTAGCTATACAACTACGATTAAACAAAATAAAATGAGTTTAAAGCTAATGAACGTTGAAAAAATTTTTCAGAATTTCAATTTTAACTTTTGGATTAACACAACGAGTCTGATATTACTCAAATTCGAAAACTCATGAACTTTTAATGTGCCTCGTTATACGAGTTGTAGATTACTATGTTTTCATAAGAACGTGAAAAAAGAAAATTTGATATTCTTATTCAATATTATTCTTATGGCGAATCCCTCTACTCAAAAAAAACCCTGAAAACTCATTGACACTGAGTTATTTATAAATGAAATATGAACATGTAAACCTTACAGAGTGTCTCATTCTAACAACTGAAACGCTTATAACTTTTGTCACAATTATCATTTTGTTGAACATTTTTTGTGAATAACTATTACCTTCTTGGATTACGTTTCAAACATATTTTTTATTATTTGTCACTAAGTAGAAAAAATCAAATAAAATATTTATTTTTTCAAAATTTCAAAATTGCCATTTTTTAATTCTTTTTGTAACAAAATTTTTGATGGGTCAATAACAATTTTAGGGCGATTACTCATTAAGTTACAAGGATTCTAATCATAAAATGGGTATGGACGCGGGCGAAGTATACACACACCAGTACGCAATGTACGCACCTTCACTCATATCCACTTTATATATTAAAATGCTTGTAGCTCAATGAATACTTGTCTTAACAATAAAAAAAATTATATTGTTATTTTTCTTATTAGTAATAAATAATAAAATATATGCTTTAAAAGTAGTCTATGAAGGCAATAATTATTTTTAAAAAATTGAAATTAAATGATAATTGGATCAAAAATTATAAGCGTCATCAGTTAGGTTTGAAACACTTATACATTTTTTTAATTCAAAGGCGCAAATATTTAAGTTAAATCGAAAAACACAAGTCATTCCTTGTTATAAAAATTAATTATTGTTGCGATTTCTATCACTATCATTTAATAAATAATAAACAATATCCAATTTTTTATACTATGAATTATTTCTTCTGTAGTAGATAAATTTATAATTTTTGAAATAATTAATTGAATTTCTTATCTGTTTCTAATCATTTATTCTAATTGTTTATCTTTTTAATATACAAGTATCACTTGTAGTCGAGTAAAAGTAAATTCAATTAAACTAATTTGACAGTTACAAAAAGACCAGAAAAATATATCTTTTAATTTATTAAGAATTATATAAGCTTAGATTTTATGTATTTTTAAAAGATATAGCTTTTTGAAAACATGGCAAAACTTAAAAATAATACATTTTGTCGGAAAACGAACAATATTTAACTCTCATCTGCAAGTAAATAATTTTTAAATTATAAAAAAAATATTTTATCTCAAAATTAAAATACAATTTTAAATGATTAGTAACCAAACATGTTGTTATGTAAAAAATATCGGCCTAATTACCAATAATATTAATTATATTATTTTATTGTAGTATAACAAAGAACTTGGAAAAGACACTATGTATTTTTAGGTTTTTTTGGGGGGAGGGGGGAGGTAGAGTTGTAGGAATAAAAATGGCCTTAAAAAATAACTAAATTAATTTAGATTAAAATAGTTAATTATGTTTGGAATAGCCATAGTCATAATAATTCAAAACTATATTGAATCTAAAAGCTATATTAGGAAACATTACGCTCCTCTAGTCCTCAACTGGTTACGCCAGAGGAGAAAGCATTTTTTTTATGTAGCTTTAAAAAAAAAACAATTATTATGACCCAATACTTTTAATTTAAAATAATTTTACACGATTAATTTATTGTAACGTAATCAAATTTTTAACTATTTCTACAGAATATCCACACACAATACAAAGAAATAATTTAACCAAAAATCTTTTTTAAATATTAAAATATTTTAAAATTTAATAAGTTTTATTAACAGGTCAAATATTTTCGAATATAATACTGTAATGAAAACATTGATTTAAAATATATATATATATATTATTGGGAATCCTGAACGGTTAAGAACTAGCCACGGATAGAGACAGATGGAGGGAAGTGGTGGTTGTGACGAAGAACCTGAATGGTCTATATTAAGCCAAAGAAAAAAAAATTATATATACATATATATATATGAAAAAAAATATTTTAACTAGTTTTTAAATTATATTGATTTACCTCAAGTTTTCAATTTCTAATAAGGTGTAATAATGAGAGGTATTACTGTAATGGAATGTATAAAAGAAAAATTTTCATTACCCCTTGAAAATGAAAAGAACAATATTCTTATCCTCCCTTAATTACATCTTTCCGATAAGTAAAATCTAATTTTCGTTCATTAGATGTACTCATAAATAAACATATTTTATATAAAATAGTCATTGTGCATAGTTATTAAGTTTATGTTATATTGTGACAAACTATTACAACACAGATTAATTTTGGACAATATCCACTAATATATGCGATGACACTAAAATGCAATTTTATAAATAAAAACTAACATTCCTGTTCAGAAGTGAAATATGAGGTCCGTGAAGTTATTTTTCGATTAATAAGTTCTCATATTTATTCTCACTTACAAACATATATAAAAGTCATATTGTGCAAATTTCATTTTAATACTAAAAAAGGCTAAACACATTCATATCAAACAAACTTATATATAATTTTTCACTAGCTGGTTAATTAATTTATTGTATTAATGATTTGATATTATCAGAACATCTGCAGTTTCAAAATAAACAAACTTCAGTAAATTTCATTAATTTTTCAGAAAATCTTTTTTGAATTAGCAGATTGGTAAGTAAATAGGGGCATCAGATGGTGCTTAGCACCTCATAGTTTTAAATTAGCATCTTCCAGTTATTTTGTTATGATGCAAAAGAGTCTATTCCATTTTGAATTATGACATTTATCGTTTATTTTGATTTTATTGTATAATCATATTGTGATACTAGAGATATTATTAATTCAAAAACAATACTGTTGTATATAACCAAAAAAAAAATTGGTTATAATTGACTTTACGCCTTTTTCCTGACACCATAGATGTATTCTTTATTATATAAAAGTAAATTCTTTAACGGTTGAAAAATTTTAAATTATTAATTAAATTGAGTATTTATAAAGTTAAACTCTTGTCGAAGAGCAAAAAAAATGAAGGCTCTGCAAAACTGTTTTGCATTAGGTTACACAATTAATAATGCTATTATAATTAATAAATATTTAATATTTAAGTTAAAATAAATAAATTTTAAGTTTCTACCATTTAATATAACTTGCAAAATTATAAATGAACAATAGTATCAAAAAAGTTTATAGATGTTTAAACAAATACGATTTAAAACAATAAGTTCTATGTTAAATTTTTAATTTTTACAAACAAGCATAAACATTATATTAGATTAAAAATATAAAAATATTTCATTAAAGTCTTTGTAAAATTTTTAATCTCGATGGAACATAATCAACACTTGTTACTCGACATTTTCTGATTATAATAAATTCAAACCTATTTTAATACTTATTTAAATATTTAAAACTTAAATTCTTTAACACTTTAAATCAAAAAAGAAATTTTTTATTTTTTATTGTTTAATTGCCTTTTTAGGAGCGTAGTGTGATGCAGTGAATACTTCACATGCTTCCAAACTCTAAATCACCTGCCGCTGTTGGTTGGTAGTCGGATGGGACACTTCAATTTCAATAGTGACAAACATATTTTCCATAGAACAAAAAGCAAGTGTAAAATCACTGTACTCAATAATTCGCCAGGATATACCAGTCTAATTTAAAAAAATTGGCTGACGAATCGAAAAATTTACCAACCTAAAACTACTAACGGTTGAAAAAAAATTGTCTTTTAAACGTCAAAAGTTTGATGTTTTGTACTTGGTTAATTACGATTTAATTTAATCATAGGAAACTTCTAAATGTTTCTAAATGTCATTTACTGTTATTCTATGCGTTCAAATTTAATATTGAAAATTGATTTACAAATGAAACTTACCGTATTAATTCACGATGATGATATAAAAATTGTTTGAAAGGGAATATCGACAAATTAAAAAAATATGGATCAATTGTTACAATGGATTAAAATTGCTGTTAGAATAAAAAAATGAGAAAAATGAACGTGTTTTGATAAAATACTTAATAACTGCCAAAAAAAATGTGTATGATAACCGCACCACGAAATCCACTCACTCGGACCGATGAGCAAGTTACCTCTGCGGTACTTTCGGCGGCGAACACACGTGATCTGCCGGCACAACGCGCTGAAAGAACGACTGGACCCGATTGCTACCGACAACTCGCGTGCAATAATAATGAAGGTTTGCGGGGCGCATCATTGATGTTATTTCAGTCGGTAAACGATATGGTCATACAGCTGTGACACACACTATATGCAATGGACGATGATGGTTTCTTAAACGCTAATATTATTTTTGGGGGATTCTCGAGAGAAAGTTGTGAAAGACACGTCCCAGTCTCGAGATAGACCTAAACGATACCCGAGGGAACACTAGAGAAGCTTAAAATAAACCCTCGATAAGTCTATATTCTGATGTTATATTAAGAGATACAAGGAAATAATACTTAAAACCCGCTATCGCATCTAAGAGTATTTAGGTAGCAACTTTGTAAAGTAATATTTTAACATAACTGTCAATTTTGAAGTATAAGAACTCAAAATTTGCATTTGAAAGATTTCCCCAATTCGAGGTTCAACAATCTAAAAAGAAATTTAAAAGTTAAACAATTTTACAACTGTTTTCATTAATAGTAATCTAAAAAAAATGCTTAAAATTTGTAACACATTGTTCACTATTTAATGATTTCATAATCACTACATTAAATATAAATCGCTTTATGTATAAAATAATAACAGTATTTTGAACATTAGTAATAATTATGTTTGTGTACCTATAGGTTACAATTCTTCTCTAAATTTTACTAAATCCAACAGCATCATCAAGAAAGAATATTTTATAAAAAACCTTGATAAAATTAATTTTTTGTTTTTGAAAGTCAAATACCATAAATATATGAACATAAAAATTGTAATAAGAAATGTAACTTAATTATCAGATTATTTAATACAACTCGTAGGCGTTTATGTGAGAAGAATATGATACAAATATTATAGCACATAAAATAAATATACAACTATACTGTTAAGGTAAAATGAAAAAAATATTTTCATATAAATAAAAACTGAAATATTATAATTATGTTTGAATTTAAATAAAATATTTCAAGTATTTATAATAGTATAGTAACACGCAAGAAATGGAGGAGTTTGTCATGAAAATTCTGTTAATTTCGCGCATCTTTTGTTTATTATTTTTTTGTTTTGGAAAAAGACAATGTACATCTTTAGCAACTTCGTAAATGACGTTGAAAATGTTCAATTTCACTAAATCATTTTTTAACTGTTCAGTTTGCAATTTTAATTATATTCGAATTTTTTCCTATCGAAATTCGTGTACACAATGATGATTCAAATACAAATATATTATTGTAGGAGTGTATTTAAAGGGGGTAGTTATAGGTGAGCGTTCCCCAGAAAAGAATTATCAATATTTTTTTAAGCCTATAATTACGAAATAAAGTTTTAAAGTCATTTGTCGCCGCAATGTAAAATAAGTATATTTTAAATGTTTAAAAATTTAAATATATGTCTTCTAATTTAGAGGCATTCATCTTATCTACATTAAGTAATTTTAGATATATTAAAAAAAATTAATTAATCAAGTAGTTAAGAAAAATTTTAGAGTAAAATTACCTAAGATATGCTCCTAGATAATTATTAGATATTTTTTTTGTCCATTGAAATTACATAAACGTATAACGAAAATACTGAAATTATCCATAGTACTCACTTAATTTAATTTATATATATATTAGGGTGGCTCTTATTTTACAAACATTCATTGATCGATATCAATACCCTCCAATTCTTTTCGTTATTATATGTAAGTTATTTGGGTAAAATTTGGTTTTGATAACTTAACCCCTTGAGATGCTGAATCAGAGTTGAAAATTCACTCAAAATGGTAATTTTTCAGCTTTTGATCATTAATTCTAAAACTAATACACTTAGCGTAAAAATGTACAAAATATAGGTTATAGATTTTAATATTGTCTTCAAAAAAGGTGCTAACAACAATTTTCTAAAATTATTTTTACTTGCTCAAAAAAATAAAATAAAAAATGAAAAAAAAATTTACTAAAATTCACTTTTTGATCATAAATCATTTTTAACTTTCGAAATAATCACTTTGCAACAAAATTATTCGTGTAAAAAATATGTAAAATTAAATTTTTTAAAACATTAGTTTTATGTAAAATTTTAGTCAGATTTATAGTTTTGGTGTTATCGTGAAATTTATATATACATTTACATATAGTCTCGCATGTTAATCTTTTGAAATCACTTAAATGTTATTTTGATTTAAATAATTTTATATATTTTAACACTTTTTGCATAAGAATATAATTTGTCATAATGTCATTAGTATTAGATGATAGCAGCGCTATATTCTTACTACAAAATTACAATACAACAATGCAACGGAGTATAAATTTATACTCAATTACTTTTAACTTTTATCTCTAATCGTAAACTATTTATGCCTGATACACGGTAAGTGCATTATAGTATCGATATTTTATCATTTACAATTATATGTTATGATAGTTTTTTTTAAATTAACATAGAATTTGCTATATTTCATTGAGATTACAAAATTTTAGCAGTTGGAAAACAAAAATGTGAATTAAAAGAGTGGGCATTATTAAATAAAGTTCAAGGCTTTGTATTTGACACAACAACGTCTAACGTTTTTATTAGCGTAATATTTCTAAAATAATACTTCATGCCGATTTTTTTTAAGCAAAATTTGTTCCGTCATCTGATCCAGATATAACACTTCTTAAGAGATTTGTTAATGATTGAGAAAAAATAAATAAAACTGAATATTTTATTTGGTCTAAGGATACAATTTTAAATATATTTAAAAAATTATAAAGAAAATATACAACAATTCTCTGAAAAAAATTAAATAGAATACTATTTTCTTGTAATGACTATAGGAAATTTCTGGAGCTTATAGTAATATAACAAGACTATAAAATTTCATCAGCCTGGAATACATCACTTAACACGTTGGATGAAAGAAGGTATTTGTTCATTAAAAATTTTACTATTTTAAAAACAGTTTAAATGACTCTAACGGAAGAAATGGTTCTATAAAAAACTATTTTATTTCGAAAGTTAAAAATGATTTATGATCAAAAAGTGAATTTTAGTAAATTTTTTATTTTATTTTTTTGAGCAAGTAAAAATAATTTTAGAAAATTGTTGTTAGCACCTTTTTTGAAGACAATATTAAAATCTATAACCTATATTTTGTACATTTTTACGCTAAGTGTATTAGTTTTAGAATTAATGATCAAAAGCTGAAAAATTACCATTTTGAGTGAATTTTCAACTCTGATTCAGCATCTCAAGGGGTTAAGTTATCAAAACCAAATTTTACCCAAATAACTTACATATAATAACGAAAAGAATTGGAGGGTATTGAGATCGATCAATGAATGTTTGTAAAATAAGAGCCACCCTAATATATATATATATATTTATTACTTATTCGTGCTCTTTTTATTTAAGTATTGTGAAAAAAAAATCAGTTACATTCAAGCTTACCTTAAGACGGGACAAGTTGAATCTAAAACATAAAGAAGGAGTTGAAAATTGTATTTTTGTCGATTTCATTTTTTTTTTTTACATTGTGCAACCTTTTTTTTTACTAATCGTTTTTAAATAACATCCTTTCATATTAAAAAATTACCTACTAAAACAATTAAATTAATTATTTATTAATAGAAATCATGGGCGCCCGCAGGAAATTTATCAGGGGGGGGCCAAAAAAATTAATTACAAAAAAGTAACATTAAATAAAGTGTTCATTAACTGAAAATTGCAATATATATATATAATTATTATATATATTCATGAGTCATTACTAAATAAAAATTGAAGTCTTCGCGGTTGTTCTGTTTCAAATCTTGTTATTACAAATTTAAATCAGATTGGTTATAATTTTTAAAAATGTATTTCCAAATTCTAGGGGGGGAAAACGCCCCCTCTTGCCCCCTTCCCCTGCGGGCGACAATGATAGAAATATTAATAATTTAAAGTATTTATAAAGTATAATTAAATTTGAAATATATGTAACTCACACTGAAATAATTTTTTCAAAAATTATTGTGTACACTTAATTTAATTCTAACTTTAATATAAGAATATAAAACAAAATACTTTTAAAAATATTTTATTTACTAATTTCAGAGGAAAAGTATAAATTACTAAATTTATACTTTTTTAAGGTAAAAAATTCTTATGCTTGAATTAGTTCTGTTGATTACTTAACAACCTAAAATTTTACAGTCATACTCGTATGTGTTAATGTAAGTAATAAATAATGCAACATATAGATTTGAGATTTTGTCAAGATTACTACTTTGATAAGTTAACAATGCATATAAAATCTTAAGAAAAATATGTATATTTATTTACAACCATACGGTTTGAATTGTATTTTATGATCAACCAGATTTTCCATCATCAGATTTTTATTGATTTAATAAAATTAATAAAATTAGGTAATTCATGAAATTTAGGCCGTTTTAATAAAATTCAAATTGATATAGCGCAATTTGTATGTATATTAAAAGATTTATAAATAACTTGTATACATATTTTACAATAACACGTAGAATGATACTACACTGAAAAAACGTGGATGTAATAATTTATAGAGTAAAAAGGGATATACACTAGATATCCTTTTATGATTGGATATTATCCAATCCTCTTATACATCATTTAGGTGATGCTAATGGATTTTTTTATTCGTTATATTTCTAACTCGCACTTATTTTGGTAAAATGTTGAGTATTCATAAATTTATGAATGATACACTTGATAACTAAGTACATCATAAATAAAACCCTTTAGTTTTATAAGAAAAAACAGTTGTTTATTTTATGAGAGTTTACTTTCACGTTATTAGATATAATTAATTATTTTTTTAACTTTCAAAACTAAATGCTTATTTAAATTCCTAAATTTAATTTAAAAAGTTTTTAATACTTCAATCAAAAGTTTTTTTTTCAAAAAAAAAAAACTATTACTTTAAGAATGTTTTATAATATTAATTTTAGTATGGCACACTGGATATCATCTAGCACTGGTGTTCAGATACACTGTTGCTGT